TTTGATTTTAATATCAGGAGGATGGCAGATCGGTCGCGTGAGGACAACATTGATGAGAAATATAACAAGGAGGAAAAAGGACTTTAAATTGGTGACATCATATTTAAATGGCTTCTGTCTGTTGTAATTTGTTTTTTTTTTTAAATATTGATAACACGAGTAACTTTAATAAATTATTTAAGAGTAAGTGCTAATATACTTATTACGTAAAGTTAATTTGAATAATCTAATCAAATTTTTGTTCCATGTTAATTGTTATTACTTATTCATTGCTTGCAATATTTATGAGAAAGCTTTCGTGAAAAATAATTGCTTCCTCTTAATAAATTGTAAAAATTCTGATATATATATATCAAAATTCGCGTATAAATAGCCTTTTAACTATGACAGATACATTAATTAAGTCACAAATAGCTTTCAAAGTAGAAATTCATACAGGAAAATTTTGTGGTAAAAATCTGTCATTACGCGCAACTTGTCAACTTTTCAATGGAAAAAACGATTTCACTCATTAACGTTTTTGTTTCTTCCTCGCCTTATCACGTCTGAATTTCTTTAATTAAAATAACCTCGGAATGTGTGTTAATTATGATTTAGAACTTACCTTCTGTTACGCTGAAAAATCTGCTTTACTCTCATATTATGCAAGTTGTTACAGTACTGCATTATTTACAAGTCAGTGATGGTATCTAAAAAGCCTTGCGTATACGCACCAAACAGGTCTTTGGATTATAATCAGTGGTTTGTCTCTAGAAAAAAAAAGCACTGCAAGACAACGTATATTTGTATTTATAGGTAACTCCGTTTCCGAACGGGTCTCTTGTACTAAAATATTTGCTATCATTTCTATTTAAATGCCACAGTCCTGCATACAAACGAAGGTGTGAAAGTTGGATTAGCACGCGACAATGCTTTTAGTCCACGGACCTGTACGAGTCCGTGAGATACTTGTCCGGAGTTTGCTGGTCCATTTTCTAAAAATGCTTTATTTATTACTTAGCAAATGTTTTTAAATATTAATTAAGCTTGAAAAGTGATAAATTTGTACATTATAAACAGTGCGATGTGGACTTTCCCGGTGGACTTTACATCCACGAGGAAGAAAAACGGGAGGTGTTTTCAGGAACGAAGTACAGTAATACCTCGACTTACGCGAACTCGGAATTACGCGATTTTCAAATCTCATCGATTCGTCTTTTGTTTGAGCGCCACGCAACCCTTGATTATTCACTCCCCCCACACTATTGTTCAGCTTACATGTTCGGACGTGTCGCGCGGAATCGACACATAACTACAATTTATTTTGTGTTATTGATTTCTGTGTTTGTTATATCTACGAAGACTCGAGAGACTCTGTGGTGATTTCTTGTAACCGTGAACGAATCAAAAGACGAGATAAGATTAACGAGAACATTTATTAGCTTACATACATCCGACTTGGATTTTACACAAATTGGGAAATCATACCCCGACTTACGCGGTTATCGCTCGGTCCCACCTATCGCGTAAGTTAGGGGTATTACTGGAATGACATCACAGGAAGACCACAAACATGCGCTTAGAAATAGTAATGAATCATCACGTTAATTGGATGCAGCTGTCACGTGATTTTGATCTAATTGCCTCTTTTTCCTTTTAGAAGCACGTGATTGCGTTATATAAAAATGGTCCGGCGAAGTTAATAGGATTTCTTCTGGAACTAAATCATAATATGATGATTTGTTTTTTTCCCATCTCTCTCTGCCCTCTGGGCATCAAGAGGGCCTTATTTAAGGATACCATTTTGGGTTTGCCAGGAATACAATGTGATGGCCAATGGTGAGGTGATGGAGCGGGGCCAACATAGCCAGACGGACTATTCCGTCTACTGGGGTTTTTGACCCGTCCAGATTCGATGTCCTGTCCCCAGAGTGGTGGAATGCCACCTTAACCTTTCGACCATCGGACCGTCGTGTTGGACAGGTTTCCGGTTTATAATAGAATTTCACATTAAAAATCACGATTTTTTATGTGAAGTTTCCGAAGAATTTTTTTTTCATTTTATTCAAGTTCCGTTTTGGACGGATTTTACTATATTATTTTAGTATCAAATGTACTAGAGGTCATCTAATATGTTTGTATTCGGCAAGCTTGTAAGAAAAAAATGAATACGATCCGCCAGAAGCCTACAAAATTAACTTGCGGCCCGTCCCGAAAAGATTACTCATTGTTGATTTACAGCAGCCTCTTCTAAGAATAGGAAGCTCACTACCACAATAAACTGGGAGAAGTGGAAGGAAGATTGGATCTTCCGGAAAGATTTAGAAAAAATTAGTAAAAACATGGAAAATTCCAATCAGGCCGGACGGCCAAGCGTGTAAGATTGGGCTAAAAAAGCCTCAACGGAAACATCCTAGCAAACCAATAGCATAGTCCATTACGTATGAAACGGACTACGCTATTTGTTTGCTTATTTAACTTATCTGCTAATGTGCCGTACACACAGCCACCGTTTATAAGGCATTCAAAATATTGTGAGGACCACCACCCCTCCAAAAATATCTATATATATATTTGTGAACAGTTATTTGTAATAATTTTTGTTTATCTACTTATATCTTTTTCTTATTATGTATTTGTGTAAACCTTAACCAAAGTTGTAAGAGGAAATTCTCCTATTTTACCAATCTAGGGACTCCCCTTTTCCAAATTTAAAATCTACTTAAATTAATTAGAATAAAACAGTTTATTAATTAACTATCAAAAACCTCACAACATGCCAAAGAAAAGAGGAAAAAGCAACCAAATAATCAAAAATTATATAGAAATGAGGAACATTGCATCCCCCTTTGTTTTCGGCAATGTTTACATGAAGAACTTAGTCAAAGCAATCAATGAACAAACAATGACTAAGAACAAAGATGAGTCATGTCGACTCAGAAGATGACCCTAAAAAGGCTGCAAGTCATCACCAAATAAGAAAACACTGTCTCAGCTACAATGATGACACTGCCAATGAGTTATCACCCGATGATGACTTTCTCATGCTGAAAGGGTTTAAAAGGAAAGTCCCAACGAGAGAAAAGTCAGTGCGGTCAGAGAGGAGATACAGCGCAGTTAGAGAAAGTTCAGTCAGAGATGAGGACATGGTCCAGTTAGAGAAAGTGCAGTCAGAGATGAGGACATGGTCCAGTTAGAGAAAGTGCAGTCAGAGATGAGGACATGGTCCAGTTAGAAAAAGTTCAGTCAGAGAGGAGATACAGTCCAGTTAGAGGCAGTCCAGTCAAAAAGGAGGACATCAGCGAGTTAGAGAAATTGCAGTTAGAGAAAGTTCAGTCAGAAAGGAGAGTCAGATATAACCAATTTAAGGACATTTATTAACATAAACGAAAGTTTCGAACAGAATTATAAAAGCCGATTTTGGAAATTTGCCTATTCTTATCTATATAACGAGTGGGTGCCTAACGGGGGTATTCGAACTTACGCGACTCACAACATACCAGATAAACAATATGTCTTCTCTTGTGACGTGGACTTGACGGCCAAGACTGCAGAGGTTCCTGGTGTTCACTGCACTTCGTCTTGTGCTTGCTCGTTTTTGAGTCGTCTTCTCTTGAACCACTTTTCCTCTGGTTGGAGCTGTGTCCACGACTGCTGACTATCTCACTGTCTCTTTCGGACTGTCTTTCTAACTGGACTGTGTCCTCACTCTGACTGCCTTTTTCTGACTGGAGCTGTCTCTCCTTTCTGACTGAACTTTCTCTAACTGCACTTTCTCTAACTTCAATTTCTCTAACTCGCTGATGTCCTCCTTTTTCATTGGACTGCCTCTAACTGGACTGTATCTTCTCTCTGACTGAATTTTTTCTAACTGGACCATGTCCTCATCTCTGCACCTTCTCTAACTGGACCATGTCCTCATCTCTGACTGAACTTTCTCTAACTGCACTGTATCTCCTCTTTGACCGCACTGACTTTTCATCCCTGCCACCAGTTGTGGGGTTAGGGGGCCGTAAAAGGTTAATTAAACCTAACAAGTGTTTAATTAACCTTTTACGGCCCCCGAACCCCACAACTGGTGGCAGGACGAGCAAGCACGAGACGAACTGCAGTGAACACCAGGAACCTCTGCAGTCTTGGCCGTCAAGTCCACGTCAAAAGAGAAGACATCTTGTTTATCTGGTATGTTGTGAGTCGCGTAAGTTCGAATACCCCCCGTTAGGCACCCCCTCGTTATATAGATAAGAATAGGCAATTTTCCAAAATCGGCTTTTATAATTCTGTTCGAAACTTTCGTTTATGTTAATAAATGTCCTTAAATTGGTTATATCTGACTCTGCATTCTTCCTCCTGAGATGCTCATTCCTGGACTTCAGAGTGACTCTTACCCTCGCGCCCTAATCATCCATTTCATCACAAACGGTGGTGTGTCCGATAAAACACACCTGGTGGCAGGACTCTACCTAAAAAGCGTTTAATAAACCTTTAACGGCCCCCGATCCCCACAATATAATACGCTTTTTGGAATCATTTCTAATGTATAAAATCCTTGGGACAAGAATTCGATTTTAAATGATTTAATTTGCGGGCTAACACATACGCTTCACGTTTCTTGCCAAAATATATAATGTAATATCTGCCAATCAGAAGAGGAATTAGAAAGAGTAGTGGCGAGACAAGGACTATATATTACAGTATATAGTCCTTGTCTCGCCGCTACTCTTTCTAATCCCTCTTCTGATTGGCAGATTTTAATTAATATATACATCACGTATATTCAACAATTATAATTTATTTACGGTAAAAAAAAGTTTAGTAAACTAAACGAAAATAAATCGAAATTTTATGCGAGTTAAAATAGCATATTCGTCATATATTATAACGATAAATTAAAAATGATTATAAAAATTGATATTTTCGTTTATCATCTTTTCTTTATATTTAATATTAATTTTTAAATTATTTCACTGTAATTTCTTTTTAATATTAGGAATTTAATAGCAATCGGAAAAGTGCGGGATTGCTATTTCAAAATGGTTCCTTGACGAATGTTGTTATTGTTTGTATGGTGCTATACGTTACGTCAGTCTCCACTAATTTATTAATTAAGGCCTATTAGAAGTAAGGATAGTTTTTACTGATGTATTTACATTAATATAAACTTATCAAGTAAAATAAATTAAGTAACGGGCCGTTAATATCCTGTAATATATAAAACGAAAGAGACGAGATTGGGAGTTGGGATTTTATTATTCAAATTTTACAATTTGATTGGGTTTTTAAGTTTTAAAAACACCTTTTATGCTTTCTATTAACTTATTTTGATACATTATCATTCATAAATATCCATATACATTTGGTAGAAGCCACATTTAGGCAATTTGTCTTAATATATACATGTGTTTGTAAAATTGTAGTTCTGAATGAGGGGTTTGCACACCCCCCTCCAAATTTTAGACCCCCTACATCTATGGGCATGTCTACAGCTTATAAGGTTCCAACCGCCTCCTTTGCAGAACCTTTTAAAGAAGTTTCCGCCCAAGAGATTTTCCTACATAACAAGTCCAATATCTCTGGTCCTGGCATTTATGTCGTAAGAGGTGTATTAAAATTTCCTGTGTAACACGTTTTCCCATATAAGAAATCCCAAAATATCGGTCCCGTTGACAATATTTTAACTACTTGCGAAGTTTCCGTTGGAGACGGATTGTAATCTTTTACTTGCCGTAAGTTACTCCAGATGTTCACCAAATTGTACATAAAACACTTGCACACCCGAAGTGGTTGCTAAATTAGCCAGGATCTTACCGTTTTGACCGTATTCCCTATCTATCGTATTCCCAGCTAACCGTTGATGCCGGTTGCTTTGTCGCCTGCTGTAGTCAGTATATCTTACTTACCTGCAATGTTACGGTATGGTATGTTATATTACCTCAATACTGAAATAAAATTGATTATACAGATAAAAAAATTAATTATCTTCTTTTATAATTCTTGCATAAGAGGTTTTCCTGTCTTAAGATTTTTTATAGCAGTCTCTTTCAAAAAGTACTAAAAACAAACAGGGTTCTACTGTACACACAAATTACCTAAAATTAACTTCTACTTATTGAAAGTATATAAATGAAATTGGGATATTTTAAAATGTAATAAATACTCTTGTTGCAGATTTATTAAATGACCAATATGAGAATTAATGAGAGAAATTTGATAAGCTTTGCGACGTCTAAAACTCCAATCGACAGAGAAGGATTATTAGGAAAAAAAGGCGAAGTGAATAAAAATTTCCAGAAGAGATGGTTTGTGCTGAAAGGCAATTTACTTTTTTATTTTGAGAGGAAAGGTGATAAAGAACCGATTGGTGTCATTATTTTAGAAGGATGCACAATCGAATTGGCCGAAAATGAAGAATACTTTGCATTTAAGATCGTTTTTCACGGAAATGGAAATAGAGTTTATGTTCTTTGTGCGGAGAATCAGGAAGATATGGAAGGATGGATGAAAGTTCTTTCTTGTGCCAGCTACGATTATATGAAATTGATGGTGTCCGAGTTACAGAGGCAGCTAGATGAAATTAGTGAAGCCGAAAAATTTATAAAAGCCGGCCAGTCTCAAAAATTAAAGATGGGTGCTTTGGGCCTGCCGATGAATCGTTCGGATAGTTGTCTGTATAACCAAGGCCAGATGACAAAATCTCGTTTCAATCCCTTTGATAAGTGGAAAGTCGACAGAAATAATTATGGCGACGGTACGGCAGAATTAATCGATATTTCTTCGGATTTAATTCCTAATGCCGAGGTTACATTGAACGTCGGAAACACAACAAGAAGTCAGAGGTATTCATTCAAGCAGCTACACGAATATTACGGCCAAACATTTCGTAGACTGTTTGAAGATATAAATTGTTCAGCTTACATGTTCGGACGTGTCGCGCGGAATCGACACATAACTACAATTTATTTTGTGTTATTGATTTCTGTGTTTGTTATATCTACGGAGACTCGAGAGACTCTATGTGGTGATTTCTTGTAACAGTGAACGAATCAAAAGACGAGATAAGATTAACGAGAACATTTATTAGCTTATATACATCCGACTTGGATTTTACACAAATTGGGAAATTATACTCCGACTTACGCGGTTATCGCTCGGTCCCACCTATCGCGTAAGTTCGGGGTATTACTGTATTTTAATCTCTTAATATGGAGAAAAGATTTTGTTGTTTTGCAGTTTACTTTCTACAATAAAATTTAAAAAAAAATACACAACAATCTCATTGAGAATAGATGAGATGTGGAGTTGATGTGATATTTCTCTGAAAATTCTCAAAGGAATATTTTATAATCAACAATAGTTTAAGTGAAAACTATCATTTATCTTCATTTCTCTCTCACTCATATTAACACAACACGAAATAGAAACTCAAATTTTACGATTCGGAAACTTTTAAGAACATTTTAATTACCAACTATAGTTGTAATGATTTGAAATTAATTAGATAACAATATCCATAACTCACTTCAAAGATATCAGAATATTAATCATTAAAAAATTATTTTAAAAACATTTTCAATCAAACAAAAAATATTACAAGATAAGTTACTTGAAAATATGTAAATTAAAATAGTCTAATGTGAACATTTAAAGTTATAGCATTTGGAAATAATGAAAAATTAAACCTTTTCCTATGTCAAATCTTGAGTTGGAGTTTATATTCTGTCTATAGTCGTTGAAGTTTTGTTTTTCAAAAATGTATAGAGTGGCTACAAAATCCCTATGCACGAAATTGTGCTCCGAGCCTCCCAATTTTTCTTTCACTTTGCCCCGAAGGCTCTTCAAGTTCCTCGTGGGTTCGGCCAATATATCCTGTACAGATCACCCCAAAAAATTCCCGGTGCTTTCGACCGCCCGGGTCACCAGAGCGGTAGTTCGACGCCTTAACCGCCTGCAGCCATCTTGCCTGCCAATTCCTTTTATATACTGCATTTCCTTCTATTAGGCCACTTAGAAATTCATGAAAAATTTCCTTTTTTACTGAAACTATGTGAATTACAAAAAGCTAGCGAACGCTGTTGCGGGTTAAATCCAGCATTAACTTAAAATAAAAGGAATTTATTCATCATATTTTTCAATCTAGTAAATGTACGCATTTAATATAAAGTTTCAATTTACACTTTCCTTTGGAGCACAGAATGCAATTTTAAATATAAGAAAACTATTTTACCACTCAGACAAATACTTTTTTTCTTTACTCTTTCAACCTGTGGTCACGAAGAGGGCCTCTTTTAGCAAGCTCATTATGGGTTCGGCCAGGCCTACAATGGGACGGCCGGGTCTCTCCAGTTTCTCGAAAAGTGTATTCTATTCCTCGGTATCTCAAAATAAAGTGTGGTCATCAGCATCGCCAAAATTTGTCTTGCTCTCCATTTTTTTCCTAAATCTGACTGGTGAGGGACGTGGCCCGACAATACAAGTATTAACGAATTAAAAAACCTGTATATGAATGTGCACATGCTCTCTAAACAAAAACAACAGCTCGTAGATATTAATACAACTGGATAAGCAAACAAATTGGTTTGGTTATCCAGTGTATTAATGTCGCTTTACTAGGGAACGCGCTCAATTATTTTCCGTAATTATGTATTCTATTAGTAACTAGCAGATATGTCCGGCATTGCCCGGCCAAAATGTAAGAGGGATAAACGTTTAAATGAAAACCATATAAAAAGTTTGATTATTTTAGTGTACCGTTGGCAAGTTTATCACGAAGTATCAAGGATATCAAATCGGGAAGAAAGGTGTCCAGATTTCACGAAAGTCTATATATTCCTATATATTCCGGTGAATAAGTATGAAAATTTTGGTGAGGATCGGACAACGGGGTTTAGGGGTTTTAATTAATAACGAGGGATGAAATCGGGGAGGGGTGGGATGTTCAGTTTTCGTGGTAGTCTGTTTTCTTCAGAGTCCGAGTTAAGCAAAAATAATTTGCAGCAGATTGACCAAAACAGCTGAGAGAGAGAGAAACATCCGCGGTGTCTAGTCAATTGAGAACACTTCGATGAATTTTCTTTCACTGACTTGAAAATCGACCATTACTATATTACGAGTGTAGCCTATACCTTTTGAATCACTATTCCACAAAAATTTGGATTTGGAAAAGGCCATAGGAAGATTTCACTGTTACGGAAAGAAATCTTATTCGATCGAATTACCTTTCGATCTTTCCTCCCAAGAAATATAAAAAATCGCTCGTTTGTTTTTGCAAGCAATCTTCTTAATAGAATCTTAAGTGTACCCGTTGAATTCTCATTCTACAATTTTCCATCACCGATAATATTTAGTCCTTCCAACTGTATTATGTGCACGGTAGAATGTCTACTATAAAGTGAATGTTAACAAAATTTAGAATATCGGCAATGCTTGCATTTCAAAAAGTCTCCATTCCAGTTTTTTCCGTAATGTCTATTCTGCTTAGTCACCACGTGGTTTAGCTCCCACCAGTGGCCAAGAGGTCTTCGTACCCTGCACACTGGGAGTTCGATCGTGGGTTCGCGCCTCGCTCAGACAGGCTGGCCACGTGGAGTTTTCCGGGCTTTATCCACGCTGTAACGCCTAAATAGGGGCCAGTTTCTCTTAAAAAGACCTCCCGGAAGGCATTACTCTAGGCGCTCAAGTGTTGCGTTGCCATAACTCAAACAAACCAAACTACTACGGGGTTCCCGGACAAACAAAAAACCCACGGAGGAGGGCGAGAATTCGACGACGGTTCCACGACTTCCAAAGGAATTCGACTTCACCCGACAGAATAATTCGAAAAGCTTTTTAAACATTCTTCAATTGTATAAACGCTAATTCATTAGAAATCAATCAATTTTTTTTATTTAAGGGCGCATCCACACATTCACCAAGAATAAAAATTGCAGGAAGATTTTGTCGCTATATTTTCCAGCCACTTAAGTTGCATTGTCTTACAATTGCACGATTAAAACACCATAGTTTAAAATAATAGGATATCGCACTGCTTAAAAATTCAGTTACTATTCTGAAAGCTTCGGTGCTGTGACCAAATAAGGAAGAAATCTTATACTGTAAATCGTTCCGTAGCAGCGCCATTTTTTACTTATCGAATAAATGGCACGTTATCTTATGAGCGAAAACAGCAATTGCTCGGGACCCCAAACCAATCTTTTATCAGAATATTCCCCAAAGAAAAATGTCTGAAGTCAACACTACATGGGGCCCTTTAATTCAAATTTTCCTGGGCCCCACAAAGTTATAAACACGCTACTGTATCGAATTATAAATTTAAGTTGATCTAAATGACGCATCTGGCGTCAAATCATTTTACCATTACCGCACGTCGTCGTTTATGCGGATAAAAATTACTGTTCGCACGCGTTTTGTGATTTCCTGTTTTGTCTCATTTCAGGTGATTGGGCGCTTTTTATTCACTAAGGCTCCACGTAACAACGAGAGATTTTCTTTCGTAACAGCGTAGCGTTTAATTTAGCATTCAGAAGTTAGGTGTATGACCAATTATACCGGCAATCCAGTAGCGTTCCGGTTCCGATTACCATTAGCAACGAGTTTTCTTTTCGATCACACGTGACTACGTAGCTGTTGTCGGGTGTTTACTGTTTATGATAATCTGCTTTATCCTAGATTCATTTGAAACAACTGTTTACTTAACAAGTAAAACATAATTAAAATTCATTGTCATTGGATTTAGAAGGCTGAAATTTTGAGGACATGTTACATTATACAAAGCAAGTTATATTTAAACTTGCTTTGTATCAACAATCTTGATATTATTAAGTTTCAAGAACGTAGTTTGATGTTGCGCTTTTATTGGCGTTGGTTGGTGACGATTTCATTTTGGGGTTTCACAATACGGAAACCATAAATATATCGAAATCATGCTTCTAGCAATAAACCAACCAAATTGTTTATGGCTGGCTTTATTTTTTAAAACTTCTTCCCGTTATTTCTATCAGTTCTTCATAAAATGGACGATGATAGATGGAAATAGGATAATTTAAAAATATCGCAAGTTTTAGCGAGTGATATTTTAAGAACTAGATTTAAGTCGATTCGATCCGAACTCTAAAAGAAACTATTCTGTTTTGAACCTCACAGTCCATTACTTTCTTCACAGTAAATCTTTCTTCTAAAAATATTGCTTCCGAAGATTTTAATACTTCAAACTAGTAACTTTTTTCATACCATTACAAAATATCTACAGTATGAATGAAACCCCTGTCATGGCCAGTTTGGCTAGTGTCAATATTCCTTATAAATGATTCACAATTAGCATTAGAGGTTGTGGCCGACGTTTTCATCGCGAAAACGTAGGCCGCAACCTCTCTATTATTACAATTAACAAACAGCAAAAGTCATATCAAACTATTGCAGGAAATTTTTCAAAATACTGTCAAACATTGGATAGTTTGATTGCCCACTAGGCTAGTGGGCAATCAAACTACCTATACCTATACACATACCTATAATTCATTTATCGTAAGTTGGTACCTACTGTAAACAAACTGACACATCCCCTTTGTTTATTGGTTTAAACCTACGTTCATCAATTAGAAACCGCGTTGCATCTCATTCGTCCGCAGAAATTAGCATTTCGGTTTTGTTTTCCATCCATTACAGTAACTATTGTTGTTTCAAACTTCTGATACAGATGATTGATGAAGTAAATTTACACTATAATTATATTAAATAATTTTTTAATTATATAAATATCACGTAGGTAAATTCAAACATTGCCATAACATTTTTAGTTGGAGGTTTGCGAATGATCTTTAAGAATTGCAGGAGAATTTGCTTTTTGTTTTGTTTTATATCTATTGATATTTAATAAAATAATTGTGTAGATAAAAATTCTGAAGCATGTTCAACCACACAATTATAAATATATTTTGTGTTTAAACAGCTACGTAAAAATGTCAGAAAAGTTTTTATAGCCTACTTTAAGTATTATCTCTGTAATTTTTAAATAGCTGTGACCACTCTTGATCTGCTTTAACACGTGCAGAGAAAGGGGCTAACTTAGGGTGACTAGATATTGACATAGTCAAAGTAGGACATTTGAAGTTTTATAATGCTTCCCAGCAGGACATTTGACAACCCAGCTTAAAACAATAAAAATCAGTAGTAAAAAAAAGCACAAAACACTAAAAATTGATAAGTAAATATTTTTAAATTGATATACTATTATTGTTGTTTTAAATACTACTCTTTGTTGCAATTGTACCCATTATTTAATATAAAAATATGAAAAGAAAAGTTTATTATTATTAATGACTACGTATTGACCCAGTAGTAGTTATCTGTGAAAGTAGGACATGTCCTCCCACAGTAGGACGGGTGGTCACCCTGGCTGAACTGGTCGACATGTGTATAGCCACTTGTGATTCACCAAAGAAAATCTTCGGCGGATTGATACCGATAAAATGTTTGTTTACAGTAGGTGCCAACTTATGTTAGATAACAGGGACCTCGAAAATGGATAAAAATTAACGTCATTAGTTTGTCATAAAATTATGTAGAAGGACCGTTAATTTTCAGTGTCTAGGGGACTTAATCTACAACAGGTTTATATACATATCGTTTTTAAAATTAATTCTTATTCTCATATTTCTAAACTATATTTAAATTTCATAAAAATTACGTAATACACGAACTCAAGTGTCTACTCCACTTATAAAGGTTCCAATTTAAAACTAATTATCATCTTATAACCTCGTAGTTCATAAGTACATTCCTGTCAATTAACTAAAATTTAATCATAAATTCTTCCCAGTACAAATTATTTATACGCTTTATAGATATTAGCTANATATAATTTATATAAATGACTATCAGCACAACTTATATTATCAACTACAATGCTTATTTGGAGATTTTCCCCCCACATGATTTTTAAGTATGTTTGACATCTGTTTGGCAAATATTGCTTACTCAATTAGCAATAATTATTTTAGGTTTTTATTATATACATTTGAGGGAACCTTCATGTACTTTTTTCTTATAACAAGGAAATAAAATGTTAATGTTCATGACTGGAAATGAAGACAATTTCTTACAAAATGGTATAAATGACTAATAAGTCAAAAAACATTTAATCGGACTACTATGATCATCCAAAAAGTGCTGGTAAGACATAAGCTCTCTCTCTTTACTAAAAGATGAATGTTTTGTGTTTGGTGCATATATATACATACATATATATATTATAATATTTATATTATAATATATATACATATATGTAATATATATTTTATATACATTCAGGTTATATATATTAACAGTGTTTTTAATTGCAATGTCTGTCACAACAGGCAGCATATATTGCTCCTCCAAAATGCTCATATTGCTGGTTTGTTGATTTGAAGAAATTGCTGCAAAATTGACATTCTTTTTTTCCACTTAGAACAAAAACATGATCACTAGAGATAAATATCATAAATAGGTTTTAAAAAAATTATATAGAAGTGTAATGATTAATATAAACATGTGTACCTTTTTTAATATATAGATTTTACTGTGGGCAGGTCCATAATCCTTTTTTATAATCTATCGATATAAATATATCAAATATAATGGAAAATGTTCTCTGTGCATTTCCAAAGGTATTCATAGTATAATATACATAATATATATAGTTTTCTGATTCTGTAATGAGCTAGGTGAAAATACATAATGATTGTTTTATATCCCTTTTTTGAGTTATAGAAAGGAGGTTATATCACTCAATATGTGATGTTAGATTGTACAAATGCTTTTTGGGATGATATATCTTCACATCTGATGTTTTTTTTTTACTTTGCAACAAATGGAACAAAAAATGATATTTTCTTTTCTGCTGAATAAAATATACATAAACTGTCTTAATTAGCATTGTTATAAATTTTTCCCTTGTTATCAACATCACATTAAATATTCTAAAATAGTCTGTCGTGCATCTGAGTGATACTGAATGCAATGCTGAAATTAATATATTACGTGCTAAAGATCAAGAAACAAATATTTGTCAAATACTTTGTTTCTTATTTTCTGCTATATGTGATAGCCATGCCTAAAAATTGGCAATGGCAATAACTGATATACAATGGTAAGAGCATGTGTTATGTTCACATATGGATACATCTTTTGCCATAATGTAATCAAATTGCTAAAACATCAGCCTTTGTTACAGCGTACATAGTGATCACTCAACAATTATAACTACATGATTAATAGAAGTGTCAAATTTGTTCTGTAAAAAGTCAATCAAATTTGATATATACTGTACAATATTCTGTACAAATTTTCAAAAAGAATTAATGCCTCTTGAAGATCAATGTCCAGACAAACTACAACAGTTGCTTAAGTGAATGTTCATTTTAACAACATTCCATTTGTATAATCAGCTTATAAGTAGCTAAGTTTTGAAATTTGGTAGGAAGAATGTCAATACAAAATGTACTAACAAATCTGTAGTTCTTTCCTTGGTTTCCAGCACAATATATACAAAATAAATAACACTGCATTCTTGATAAAGTGGTTGTACTTGGCATTAAATAGTTTACAGAGAAGAACGAATCACATTTGTGATTAATCTGTTGAGCCTTCTTTCTGAATGACATTTGCTGATCGATTCTGAGGCATCAAACTCTTTGTTACATGATCTTAGACCAAGAAGGCAAGATTGCCTTGTTAACAAATCTTCATTACATATATACAACAGTTTTATCTGCTTAACAGTTTCCATTGATCCTTAAAACAATTGAAAGCAGATATCACTTGCAACTTTTTAAATTTGCACACGAAATTTTCCTTGATAAGTTAAAATGAATGATTTATTTTTGCTCTTCTATTTTCTGGGCAAAACAGTTGTGATCTCTTCACAGTTAAAAAACAGATCATCCTGATATGTCAAAAGTTGATTTCTGACAGGATTTCTGTATTCAATAGTTTCTTTCAACAATGTCCAAAGAAAATAAAACACTTATAAAACTGGTAAGAAGTCTTTCATTAAGACCTTCTGTTAAACAGTGTGGCCATAAAACAAGAGGCTCACATTTGTGATTAATTGCAAAATAGATGTATAAAAACCCGGGTACCAAGTTGTTCCCTGAACTGCTTGCTAACTTTTATGATGTCACACAAGTGCTTCAACAGCATGATAAAGTTGTGTTAAAACTTGTATATGCACGGGAAGGCAAGATCGACGATCGTGTGTTGTCGGATCAAGAGAAAGCCAAGACAATGCATTATAGCCTTCTAGAACATACCTATAGAAAAATTAAATAAATTATAAATTTAAAATATTCAAAGAATTTCTATAATATTAATTACATTAGCTTAAATATTAAATATAACATTTTAAAAATGTAAATGGAAACTGTAACCTGCTGTTAAAAATCATTTAGAAAATATCAAATTTAATTATTTATTAAGGAGAGGCAATATAGAAATTTTAAGTCAATAATTGATCAGTTTATATAACAGAAATATAGGGAAAAATATGTCAATGATTTATGACCTAAACTATTTTTTGTTTTCTAATCATTAACAGATTTAAGATATTTAAATATGTTAATTAAGAATCAGAAACCATTTTAATTATTCCAAGTAAGAATTCTTCCCAATATTTCTGCATAATCAAAACTATTTCTTGTGTTATTTATTTTCACATGCTTTGACCACTATAATTATTTAAGGTGAAAAATGTAATAATTTTTTATTTATAAGTAATTTAAGAATACAAAGCACATTTTTTTGTAATCATATTTATCAATATGATTACAAAAATTCTGTTTTGTATTCTTAAATTACTTTTGAAGTTTACAAACAGACTAATAAAGTATACGTATAATTAACTTAAATAATTTTATTACTGTTATAATATGAATAAAATTGGTGATATTTCTAAGTACAGTATCAAATTATTATAATTCTATGTAAGTCTACAGGCTTTGGAACAGAAAATGATTTCAAAATAAGTGAGAATAGTAACTCCCAGAAACGAAAAAGTCACTAAACATTGACTGAAATAAAATTAGTTGGCCATGATGATATACATTATTTGTAAGGAGTTGAGTCCAAATGTTATTTCATGTTTATGGGTTTTGTTTCATTTGACGTTATAATTTAGTTCAAGAACATTTTTTGTTTAAAGGACAACAACTTATTTTCATTATTAACTAATAGTAATTATAAATAAAGCAATCATAATTTAGAACTAATGCTTGCACAGTGTCTAGATGTTTGTGTGCATTTCTCGCATGTTTGCACAAAAAATTTGTTTCTTGCTTCTGCATAAACGGTGTCGCAGTTGTGAATTCTGGTTCAAAACGTTTGTTTTCATGTGTTTTTCCCCTGTTCTCATGTTTGCACAAATGTACCTCTATAGCAAAGACTCAAACAGACTCCAGTTTCTGATGAAACCGACACTTGAGAATTTCTGAGTTCCGGTTTCGAGTGTATCGAATCCAAGTTGGTTGATCAAAATTAGCAAAAGGGGTCACTAATTACCCATTCATATATCTGTATATTTTGATCTGTTCTTTATTCATTTTTTAAAGAACATAACCATAGGCTAATAAGTACCAGGTTGGTCAGCCAGTTCGGTAATTAAACATGAGAGGTGTCTATTAAAACACATACGGCATGTCTCTTAACAAATAATAATAATTCAGAGAAAAATTGCCTGTATATTTACTGTTCTTTCTAATGAGTTATCTTCTTAAATTCTGCAAGTTAAAATTTTTAATTGGCTAAAATTATTAATTAGAAAAGTTTTCAGAGACGCAAAATTATTAAAACTTAAAACAAGACATTTCATTAAATAAAAAAAATCCAGAAATGAAATGCATAACTTTCCTGACGAAAACATGATGATATAATAGAACAAATTTAAAATCTGTTTGTGACACCATCCATTACGAGATTTGTTAAAAAACAACTTTTATATTATTAATTAATAATTACAAAACTGCAAATAGTTTAATTTTGAGGGTAGAGAAGAGTTTTATATAAAATTATAAATGTTAATAATGAGTAAAATCTTCACCAACTCCACTCGATTTATGACACATGACCCCTTTCTATCTTCCCACTCCTCTATCTATAACCACCAAAATTTAATAGCATCAATATACACAAGCTACCCGCTAAATTTTGTTTCTTAATCATTACCCCATCTGAGATATTAAACAAAATAGATGCCAATACAAAAAAACTCTGAGATCAAATCTGACATGATTCCAATATTTTCCCATGTTATATACATAACAAGCTGGGAAAGTAAAACATTGTTTTTATTTATTATTCATCAATAAATCCTATAATCTGTTACAAAGCTATAAATTTAATAAACTTTCCAAATTTTATAAAATATTAACAAACTTGAAAAAAAATTTAATCGGTAATTTTGTTACACTATCAAAATTATTAGAACAAAAATTGACAAATGATAAATAGTGTCATTTTAAATTACGTTTATCATTTTCTGCACTTGGTTTTCATTTTTACACTGGTTTATAGACTTTGCACCCTCAAATTGGAGGTGCAAAGATTAATTGTGAGGGGCTCAAATGAAAAAAATACTGCACTTTGAAAAAACTTTTGTCAACGTTAGACTGTGTGCTCTCAAATTTATGATATTGCATAACTAACATTTTTAAGACCTCAAAAGTCGCATAATAACATGAAGTTTTCAACATGCAACAAGAGAATGACGTTATGGGCGATTTAAGTATTTAAACATTAATGAATGGAGTGATGTTTGACAGCTTGGCATCACAAAAATGCTGTTGCCCATAATGGCAGAAAAAGCGAGAAATAGTGCTACATCGGCAAAATAGTTAAGAATAAGCGACTAATTTAAAAATAGTGATCCATTCTGAGACCTGAAGTCAATCAATAGTGACTCTAATCTTTAAAGTTTTAAAATTTAAATAAAAACATTTTAAAGAAAAAAAATACACTAGTTTTTGCTTAAATAATATATATACAGGTTAGCATATCAGAATTAAATACAATCCCATTTATCTACACTAAATGAGCCCAGACCCAATTAATCAAAATTAGTGCATCATCAAAATCTAAAATTCCATACTGAAAGTACTTTTTAATGATTAAAAATAAACTTACATGCTTTACTGACTTGAAAACAATAGGAATGTTAAAATTACTTATATGGTAATGTTATTTGGTATTTGGTATATACAAACAGTATGGTATGTAATCAACAAAAGTCACTCAGCAAATAATAAACTACACCACAACACCTTAAGTTGCTGAGAAAAAAATTCTTAAAATGTAACTAATGTTTTTGGCCATCCTCAGGTTAATTGATAAAAATAACAATGTTCTAAAAATAGAATATATAAATTCAAATACAAAATTAACGGAAGAATTATAACAAAATATTTATATACATGTATTATTAAAAAAAAAACAGATAATATTATATATCATGTAATAATATATCAAAAATGTAAAAAATGCAAAAATAAAAGTCAAGGCATAAGTTATGAGCTCTTAAAAACTTTTTAACTAAGTACTTTCACGCAGACGGTAGTCCTTCTGTGTCCCTTGCATTAATGCACATATCTTGTAGCTTGCCCTTATGAATTTCAATCTTTTCTGCACTCCTCGCCAAAGTCGGGGAGTGCATGGACTTAACAATATCTGCTTCTTCCCAAATTACTACAAGAAATTTGGGAATCAGGCTGAAGGAGCACAAATATAATGTCAATAAGGGATCCAATTCCACAATATTATCTCAGATGGCACAGGCTGAAGGCTCCATAGTAAAATGGGAGGAAGCAGATATTGTTAAGTCCATGCACTCCTCGACTTTGGCGAGGAGTGCAGAAAAGATTGAAATTTATAAGGGCAAGCTACAAGATATGTGCATTAATTCAAGGGATGCAGAAGGCTACCATCTGTGTGGAAGTACTTAGTTAAAAAGTTTTTTAAGAGCTCATAACTTATGCCTTGACTTTTTTTTTTGTTATAATTCTTCCATTAATTTTTTATTTGAATTTATTCCATTGTATTTGAATTTATATATTCTATTTTTAGAACATCATTATTTTTATCAATTAACTTGAGGATGGTCAATCGATTTGGCTGAAAACATTAGTTACTTTTGATAAATTTTTTTTTGGCAACTTAAGATGTTGTGGTGTAGTATGGTATGTATTTTTTATCCTTACAAAACAAGAAATTTCTACATAGGTATTGTACATATTAATTAAAGTTGTAAATGTTTCAATAAGCTAAGAAATGCACAAAAATAATAATTTTTTCCCATCAAATATGTAAAAATTTAAAAAGAAATGACTATTCAAAACAATATGGATATTCCTGAAATCCAAATGAACAGGATCTAAATAAATGAATATATAGTAAATTTGTTAATTTAACATTCCATTATTCTTTTCCAAACTGTTTAAAATAACTATATAAATTTTAAAATGTGTAAAGTTCAAAACAGTCAGTTTCTAAAGAGAAACGAAAAGTGAGTTTGCATATCTATGCTAAAGATTTAATGTCAAATTTAATAGAAATCATCAGAGAACCAGAATATTCTTTGTAAAGGACGAGTTGCTACATTAGACAAAAAAAGTAACATTATGAAATGATTTTATAAACAAGACATAGTCTTGTTTATAAAATCATTTCATAATGTTACTTTTTTTGTCTAATGTAGCAACTCGTCCTTTACAAAGAATATTCTGGTTCTCTGATGATTTCTATTAAATTTGACATTAAATCTTTAGCATAGATATGCAAACTCACTTTTCGTTTCTATTTAGAAACTGACTGTTTTGAACTTTACACATTTTAAAATTTATATAGTTATTTTAAACAGTTTGGAAAAGAATAATGGAATGTTAAATTAACAAATTTACTATATATTCATTTATTTAGATCCTGTTCATTTGGATTTCAGGAATATCCATATTGTTTTGAATAGTCATTTCTTTTTAAATTTTTACATATTTGATGGGAAAAAATTATTATTTTTGTGCATTTCTTAGCTTATTGAAACATTTACAACTTTAATTAATATGTACAATACCTATGTAGAAATTTCTTGTTTTGTAAGGATAAAAAATACATACCATACTACACCACAACATCTTAAGTTGCCAAAAAAAAATTTATCAAAAGTAACTAATGTTTTCAGCCAAATCGATTGACCATNTTTTTTTTTTTTTTTTTTTTTTTAACATTATTGGTCCTACGATTTTACTATATTAGAAAAAAATTTGACGTT